CTAAGAAATTCTAATTTGTATCTGTGTTTTTACCAGCTAAGCAGTTTCAGGCATCTTTTAGGCCAAGCAAGAAATATAAAATATTAAATTGATCAATAAAAGGGGACTTGTTGTAATGGTTTAAATTAATTTACAATTACACATGGGAGATGGACATGGTCATGAATGGAAAATACATATCTATAAATTGCATATATATATATATGCAATTCCTGAAGCAGTATATATATTTTAACTGTGCAAAGTGACCTCTACACTCTCATCCAAATGGATAAATATTATTTGCCTGTTTTATGAAAGGAAGTAATCTTAAAGTTCAAGTGTTTCTCTTTCCTTTGTTTCTCTTCCCAAACACAGCTTATTTTTGTTCTCTTTGTTTTTGACAGTATGTCATCCTGAGTCATTTTAAGAGAACGGATATATAAATCAAATGAAAACAAATCAAATCAAATAAATAATGGGACCCACGCCAATTGTTTAGCCCAGGAAGATCATTGCATTTTGTTCAATCTACAATAAATAAACAATGAGTCAGGCAGACAAATGGAACACAAATAATACCCTGGTTGGAAAGCTGAGCAATCATTTTTGTTTTGATTTTGTGCATTTTATTTTGCAAATGGCTTTGAGCTGGTCCCTCGAGCATTATGTAAACACTTTATTTAGAGCCATAAAATAAATCCTTGCAGAAGAAAAAAAAAAGGGAGGGTATAACCCCACAGAGCATGCAAAACACAAACTTGTGCTATGAATAATATGAATTATAGCTACAGCTTTGCGATCACCATCTTTAAAACTAACTGTTGCAATATTTTCAGGATCAGACTCAATAAAGATAATAGGAGTTAGAGCTTTAAATATATTTCTTTTTAATTATGATAGGCATTCTATATTCACTGAATATTCAAGGTAGAAGCGACGAGAATGGTGAGGGTGGCTCCTTATATATACAAGGGGTGGAGCTAGGAATGGGAGTGGTAAGTTATGAATACATTAAAGTCCAAAGAATAAGTTAACCTCTGATGTTCCATATATACATTATTTACACATTGGAGAATAAGGCATTTACATCTGACACTAACTCTTCTCTGAATAAAAAGTCAAAAGTCATAAAGAAGGCAAACGGGGGAGGGGGGCGAGGGGGATCAAGCAGCAGAAAGCAAGGCGTAGCAATAGGGAGTCATCAAGAGAAAGGATGTATTTTCTAACCTGCTGATAAGGATTTTAAGAAGAGTCACTGTAAATGACAGGTGTCATTTTCAGAGCAAGCATGTGCATTTAGGAAAAATGAAACCGTTCATGAACTGTTCAGGAATTGCTTCAGTGTGGAGTGTACCTTTTACCCAGCATCTTCTCTAGTCTTCTTAAAAAGACATTGATCAAGCAGAAGCTTGGTGATGTGCAGAAAGAGAGATTTCAGATTTCAGGTAGAGATTTCATAAAAGTGAGGATGGGAACCTGAGGTAAAGAACAGATTGAAAGAGAGAAGAAAACTCTGGAGTAAACCCTGAAATTGATGGAGGAGAAGGAAAGCAGAAAGGGAGACAGACTGCCTGCCCACCATCGGTTTACATTTCTAGCAAGAGTAGGAACAAGTGGGAAGTGCTTCCATATTATTCTTTCTGAGCTATGGAAAAATGAAGAGAGAAACCTATGCAAGTGAACTGCTTATAATTCTAGTGAGGGCAATCTGTCATTCCCACTAGTAACTTCCCAGCCCTATAATCTCATTAAGACCACCACCATCATGGTGTTCCCAGTATAATTCCATTTAGGCCAAAGACATTCTTGTTCACAACCAGGTTTATCATCCTTGATTGGAGAGAATCAAGTTTTTCATTAAAGTAATGTTGCTGCCATTTGCTATGACAATATACTGGGTGGGTGGGGGGGAGGTATTTGCAAGCCTTCAATCAGCCTGTTGAGGAAAGACTGTAGGACTTGTCAGAATGGACAATCAGAAGACTGTCAGATTAGTCTTCCATTTAGAACTGGTTCAGTTCTAGACTGTTCAGACTTACGACGCACCCCCCCAGGGGTACTTAAGACCTGGTTCTGAAGTTCCCAAAACTGCTCCTCCAAGTCACATGACTGCATTTTGGGTCCTCAGCAACTAGAGATGGGGAAATGATGCCATAATGTCAGATGCTTCCAGAAACATGCAACTGTTTATATAAAAAGATTGGATTTTTTATTTTGGCTTGAGGTCAACACCTTCCCCAAGCTTCCATGAATCCACAATGTGAGGTTTGCAAGTAGCAGGGTCGGGTTTCCCCCTGGCAAAACTCATATTTCATTCTGCCCCCTGGCTCTGTGAATTTCTCTCTTGTAGCCAAAGTGCTATGGTACCTTGCCAACATCCCCTTACACTGCTGCTGGTTCATAGGTTTTTTTTAAAGCATTTTTTTTAGTTCTTGTTGCAAAAAGCTGGAAGGGGAGTCTGTTTTTCTGCTATTCTTTGTGCTCTCATTGGCCAGAAACACAGGAGTACAGATTTCCAGCAGTGGGACCATAACTAGGCTGGTGGCCAGGGTGGAGGGCCCATAATCTGAAAGAAAAAAAAATCAGGTAGCTGTTGGTTCATTAATAGTACTTTGTTCCTAGCCACAATTTTATCTTTGCTCCAATATTGGAAGGGGAGCCATCCAAGAACTGAAGATGTTAAGAAGCAGGAGGACAGAGAGTTGCCAAATTATATACTGTATGAAACAAACGACACCCTGGGGAAACAAATCAATTAAAACATGGCATTCTCAGTTTTAAATCCTCATTCAGCCATGAATGTTTTCTTGGGCCTAGGTAGTGGATATAGGCGTAATCATGTGTACTGCCTGCACTACTAAAAAGAAGAACAAGACAATTATTTAAAATCTTACAGTACAATCTTAAACTCATCTTAAAAACTTAAATAAAATCAGGGATGCATACAGGCAGCAGCAAAAAAGCACCTTTATATTGTTTCTGGCCACTAATGCAAAGTTTTCCTTAATCAAGCCAATCATATGTTTTGTTTTCAAAACCTGGCTTGGCTGTAAACATTGTACAGCAGCTCTCTTCCTTTAGTAAGTTAGAATGTGACATCCCAGACATTAATCTCATGACAATGTGTGAACATGTGGAAGGGAAAGTATACGCAACTGTCATTTGAAGCTCATTATGTAAGATCAGCGGCATGTTTAATTTGTTGTACTCCATTTAATTCTCAGCAGGAAAAGTATTGAAGGAAGTATCAGTGGAATCTATGAGCCAAACAAGATACTCAAAAAAAAAAAAAGAAAAAAAAAAAAGAAGGCAGATAAGTATGCCTCTTTAGAAGGTATGCCTCTTTAGGTGGAAGCCAGGAAACCTATCTAAAGTCATGGACCACTTCTTAAGGCTTCTTCTTGGAAAACTGAGGTCATTACTTGCTAAATCTCTCTCCATTGCCCTGTGGCCTCACTGATGCCTTTTAGCATTTTACTTTGGGATCTAAAATTCAGAGGAGGCGTCACCACTGGAAGGATAATTCTGTGGTGGAAGGTATACAACTTGAATTACCTGCATTTCATCCCTGAGAATTTCCTAAAGCATTTTATTTTATTTTTATTTATTTTGTCAAGCATGTATTTTATGACAGATACAAGCGTAACCATAATTATAAATACATGAAAAGGATATGAATAAAAGAAAACATTAGGACAGGAACAGTAGGAATGCTGGTGTGCTTATGCACGCCCCTTACAGACCTCTTAGGAATGGGGTGAGGTCTACAGTAGACAGTCTAAAGTTAAAGTTTTGGGGATTTGGGGAAGAAACCACAGAGTCAGGTAGTGCATTCCAGGCGTTGACAACTCTGTTACTGAAGTCGTATTTTCTGCAGTCTAGTTTGGATCGGTTTACCATGAGTTTGTATCTATTGTGTGCTCTTATATTGTTTTTATTAAAGCTGAAGTATTCATTGGCTGGTAGGACATTGTAGCAGATGATTTTAGGTCAAACTGAAGACGGCTAAGTTCTAAGTTGTCTAAGAACTTAGAAAGCCCAACATTTTGAGTCTGGTGGCATAAGGTATTTTGTTGCGAGCAGAGGAGTGGAGGACTCTTCTTGTGAAATATCTCTGGACTCGTTCGATTGTATTAATGTCCGATATGCAGTGTGGGTTCCAGACAGATGAACATGACAGATTTTATCCTTTGAAAATGAATGCCAAAGACTATTTTCCTTATCAAATGGAATAAAAGTGTTTTAAATACATTTGTCTAGACATTTACATAATGGCACTAATTCTATTACTGATGTTTCACTCATTCATATTAATCTTAATGATTACAACCCCCTTCTCCTAGCTCTACTCAACTGACAGGTGTTCTTTCAGTTTATAGATGCACAATGTTGTGAATAAGCAGCACAATGAACTCCAGAGAAGCTAATGGTTTCTCTATACTTTTCTTTTTGTTCTGCCTTGTTTTATAATGTAAGCTATTAAATCATCCCCACAGATGGGATTCTGTTAAGTTCTGGAAATAAAGCGACCGACACACAAGATTCCCACCTACTGCTCCTAATTGTTTTATTATTTTAACCTATCAAGGTAGAAATTGGTTGTTAACATTTTAAAATTGGATATGCACTATAATAGCACTAAAAAGTGAAACACAATAGTTTACCATTATGAGAAGGATAAGTGTTATCTTCATATTGATTCGTATTGATGCATATTCATCTGCAAACACAGCCAAGGCATCATTTTCTCAAATGAACCCTGTGGAATAAGTTATTTTATGTTATATAAACAGTTTTGATTTTCACTTCTGCAAAAAAATGAATTTTGCTGTGGATGCTGATTTTATTTATAAGGACAAAAGATAGAATTGGAAGTGTAGTAATGCCATTTGAAATATATCTGTAACAGAAGGCCATAAAACTATAATGAATCTTTACAATTACAACCACAAGTGTATTTTGTGAATAGTTAACATTTACTAAATTTTTCCTTACTTTTCTGACTTACATAAGTAAATGCCAACAATGCAGTAGACACAAATGGTCTGGAAGAAATGGCCACTGTTTCTGTGGAACTTATTCTTGTGTAAAAATATACATAACTATAATCTCAGGCTGCAAACTTACCCTTACATACTTAAAGGTAAGTCTGAATTTTCACACAGGGACTTTTCTTTAGCAAAATAATGCACATGTAAAATAATTCTATTAAGAGAATATCAATCCTGACAATCCAAGAGTGTGGGTGGGATTGTCAAACTCGCACTTGTGACCACATGTACAAAGCCTTTCTTATATGTGTCATACAACATATAAAAATGATGTGGGGTCTGATTGCACAGATGAAGCTACTATCTTGACTTTTTTGAGCTGAACTTTTTTTTTTTTTTTAATTTGATTTATATGCCGCCCTTCTCCGGAGACTCAGGGCGGCTTACAATGCGTTAAGCAATAGCCTTCATTCTTTTGTATATTTTATACAAAGTCAGCTTATTGCCCCCACAAACTGGGTCCTCATTTCACCTACCTTAGAAAGGATGGAAGGCTGAGTCAACCTTGAGCCTTGGAGAGATTCGAACCAGCAGAAATTGCAGGCAGCTGTGTTAATAACAGGGTGCATTAAACCACTGTACTATCAAGGCTCTTCCCAACATCCTCCTTGCTGCCAACATTTCCGTTTCGGACATTCACACTAGGGTTTACCAGTTGTTCAGTTTCAGTGCCCTGGAACTCAAAAGCCTGAAAAAGATAGAGTCAATGTTTTGAGTGAGCATTAATTTTGGAAATATTTGGTGCCATCCAGTGGTGAAATGTAAAATTTGTTACTACCGGTTCTGTGGGCGTGGCTTGGTGGTGGTGGGGTAATATGATGGTGGGCGTGGCCAACTTTTTTTTTTTAACTTTTAAAAGCATTTTTTCTACAACTTCTTTGGCTGAAGAGGTTGTAAAAAAAATGCTTTTAAAAGGCTCTGACGATCCCAGATGAGTTGCCTGATCATCAGAGGCTTTTTTTTTTTTTACTTTTAAAAGCATTTGTAGAAAAAATGCTTTTAAAAGTAAAAAAAAAAAAGGCCTCTGATGTTTGCTCAGCTCAGTTGGGCGGGGGGGGGCAGGGATTTCTGCTACCGGTTCTCCGAACCATCCACCACCATCGCTACCAGATCGAATATCCGGTCCGAACCGGGAGCATTTCACCCCTGGTGCCATCAGTGCCAGGTGCATTACCTGCATCAGTGAAAGAAAACTTTACGGTTCCATGAAGCAACCAGAATTTAAACTGATCATTGACTGAATTATGTAGCATCAAGTTGATTTCTCCATGATAATTTGTCTCTAACCTGGTCTCCCAATGGTGCACCCATCTCCACTGTAACTGAGTCCACCCACCTTGTTGCTGGTTGTCCTTTTCTTCTCTCCCCTCCTGCCTTTCCCAGCATTAGAGCCTTCTCCAGAGAGATGAGTCTTCAGATAATATGTCTGAAGTAGGATAATTTGAACCCGGTTATTTGTGCTTCAACTGAGAATTCTTGAGTAGATTTTTTTAATGATCCACTTGGTTTTTTCCTTGCCAGGCTATTTATGGTATTCTCGTGAGTCTTTTCAACATGAAAGATCTACTAAGTCTCACACAGTGTGCAAAAATCCTAAAAACAAAGCCCTGAAAAAAGTCACTTTTAAGTATAAGTATAATTTCTGACCTACATTACTGCTGTGATGCAAGAGATGGAGTGGCTTTGACAAGCTTGTGCAAATCTAAAGAATTCAAATTGAACACTGACATTTTTGTCATTCAGGTAGGCTGATGTCCTCCCTACCCACCCCGAAATGCAACAAGGAGTGATAGCATGAACTTAAATGGAGAGATAGTATACCTCTGAACCTGCCAACTCTGAATAAAATAAATTCTACTGCCAATTGCAATCTTATTTTTCTTCCTAGGAGACTTCTTAGTTACAACAGGCTTGGAGATACATTATTAAATGGCTTGCACTGCCTGCTCCCAGTCCAAGGAGATGCTCCCAGTCCAAAATGAATGTAAATAATGAATGTAAATAAACAGCACCATCTTGTAAAGGCTTACTTAGCAGTAGGTCTTGGTGTATTCAGTAGGGATAGCTTATAAATACTGTAATTATCCATAATATTGCAGCTAGAAAACTAAATTATTTTCCAAAGAGAGTTTTCTGAAATCTAAGCAAAAGTATAAATGAAGTTAGAATGTGAACAGAAACTAGTAACGTAATTTAGCACTTTGAGAGCATTTTTAATGAGTTGTGATATTTCAAATAAATTATTAGTTCAGTAATTTAAGTAGTGCCTTTGCTCTTCTTATATTCAGCTCTTCAGCCACCAAGACAAGGCCGCCGTGTCCTTCGGAGCCAAGAGGAGTCTAGAGATATTCCCTATCTCCCAATGGATCAGTACAATGTCATTGGGGAATGATGTGATGATCTTCCAAGCTAAGGCAATAAGATACCAATGATCTAGTCAGTGTGCCAATCAAATGATCTAGCAGAAATTTTAGCTTATGGAGAAAATGCCCTTCTGCTTTTCCTATTAGCCAGTCGAACAGCCTGATAGTATGATAGTAGGACTCCAGTTGTCTGTGCTTGGCCCCCAAATCACTTACTGCATTTGTATTAGCCTTACTAGGTAGACCAGAACAGGAAATCAACTTTATTGGAAAGCTAAAATTATTTTACTAAGATTGGTTATACAGTGATATCCTGGTACTCAACCTTAATTGGTTTGGGGAGCTACGATGACTACCAAAAATAGCAATAGCACTTAGACTTATATACCGCTTCACAGTGCTTTACTAAGCACTACACAGGGCTCTCTCTAAGCGGCTTACAGAGTCAGCATCTTGCCTCCAAAAATCTGGCTCCTCATTTTACCCACCTCGGAAGGATGAAAGGCTGAGTCAACCTTGAGCCTGGTGAGATTCAAACTACCAAATTGCAATTAGCTGGCAGTCAGCAGAAGTAGCCTGCAGTACTGCATTCTAACCACTGTGCCACCAGGGCTCTTAATGATGAGTACCAAGCAATTTTTCCCCATAAGGAATAATGTAGTGAGTCACAAGGCAGCTGACACTAACAAGTTCTAGCTTGTACATTAAGTACCAAACAAACAATGAGCACTGGGACAAATTTTCAGGTCAAAATGTATTGAGTACCAAATTTTGAATGCCAAGGCACCACTGTAATAATAGGTCTAATTGTGCAGTACCACCTCCTCCTTATTCTAGTTCTATGAATTAGGGAGGCATCTGCCTGAGCTTCTCTATCAAGGTCATCATCTTTACTTTTTACAATTTCTTCCACTATAGTTACAACTCTTTAAGAAAAATGGAAACTGAACCGTAGCGCAGGCTTCTAATTGTGCATGCACAATCTACTTATGTCTTTTCTATATAGATGTATTGCTGTGCATGTTATTTTTATGGTTAACTTTTATTTTTGTATGTTTTGTCATTTGTATAGCATGAGAGAAAATCCTCAGAATATGAAGAAAGAATGTAATGTTTACAATCAGTTCATTGGGGATCAATCTGACAATGGACTGCATTAATACTTAGAATGTAAGAAGACCCATGTAAAGGTGTAACACTGGATATTTAATTCATTTATTTATTCATTTATATGAAAGAATGAATGTTAAAAATGGGGGAGGGACTCATCCTCGGTGAAGACTTCAGAAACTGAAAGTGAAGTCTTGAAATGTGGGGGGGGGGCTGTACATTTGGTCAGAATCCATGGTCCTTAGACAAGCCGGATTTAATACCTCTTTTCATAATACTGTCATTTTTCTTCATGTAATAGAATACAAAATTTGCAAGGCTTCAGATTTCCTATCACATAGATATAGTTTTGGGACAGCATTTTGTACCTTTGAAATGCATACATTGTATGCCTTTGCATATTTAAAGAGTTACAAAGCAAAATCCAAAGGAGGAATATGTATGCATTGCAAAATGTTTGAATTGTTTGAAGTGTCCATTGTAACTAATTGAATGACTGAACTGGATTACCATTTCAAGTGTGATAAAAATGCTAATTACCATTTCCTTCTACTTGTTGTCCCTTTATGATTTTCATTAGAACCGAACAGCTACATGGAAATAATAAACCCTCCAAATTCTGGCCTGGCGTTTGAGAAAGCAGTATTTGGGAGTCTTTTCAGTTGTTTTCCAGATTGCCTTGGTTGAATCTACATTTAATCAAATATTTTTTCCCTCTCCAAAAAATTCTCGAAAGCAATTTTAACATCCCCCAAACCTATTTCTTTTTCTTCACTTTAAGTAGCAAGCTATTACTCCATTTTCCCAGATGTAGGTTTCTGTAATACTTGGAGATCCCTGGACAGATTTATTGCTACTGTGTGCATTCAATCATCATTAGTTGCTGGATAAGATGCTTGCAAAACTGAAGCAAGCACCATTACTTCTCAGAGACATTACACCAAAGGTTTTTGCTAACCAAATAAGATACTACAGTTTGAGATATAAATATGGGTTTTATTTAAATAGAATCTGGCAGGATCATTTATTGTTCCTTATCAGTGTAGTGGGGAAAGCATTGCTTCTAGAATTAAGAGAAGATGTCCCTGAACAAGCAGCCGAATGGTTTATTGCTATTAAAAGCAAGCAAACTCTGCAATTTTATCCCAAAGAACTGGACAGAAAAAAAATCCCTTCTTTCATACATGTTGATGTATGAGTTAAAATCCTTTATTTTCTTAGTTAAATATAGCAGGAGAGTCAAAAATCAGAAATCTGGTAGAACCATTTCAGACTCAGAAATGTTATTAACAGGCATAAACCTTCATGAGCTGCAGCTCACTTCATGAGATAGAAGCTCAAACACAACGTCTTATGAATGCCAGTTTAGTCTGCAGGATATACAATTAGAAGGTAATATGATCTCCACTCCTAGACACCTGAGGAGTTATTGCATAAATGATGGAACACATTTATTTTCTTTGGTTTCCATTTGTCTTGGAGTACATCTTCTATACATTTTCACTATTGTCTATGTTAATTGAGATTTATAGACTCCATAGTCCATAACTGTTCAATGGCACTAGGAGGCTGCATTGCTCCAGAAGGATCTGCAAAACAGGCCTACATTACACAGAAGGAAACCTCAACTAAAGACTAACTGTCAAGTGCCAGGGAAACCAGAAGATCCAGGCAGTTCAAAAGAGTATAAAGGTTTATTGCAAACTTGAGTGCTCTACAAGAAACTGAACTACTAATGGACAAAGCAAATTGGCAGTAGATAAGAGTCAAAAGAATTCAAAGTGGACTGGATTTAGATCTCTTGTGGGTGTGAAGGGACTCATTACTGATGATGTGCTTGATCTCACCCTCCACCTCAGCCTGGTCATTTCCTACACTTACCTTCCTTATGGCATGAGCTATTCAGCTGTAGAAACTGCATTGACCAATAGCAATAGCAATAGCCTTATGTACTGCTCCACAATGTTTTACAGCCTTTTCTAAGTGGTTTACAGAGTCAGCATATTGCCCCCTACAATCTGGGTCCTCATTTTACCAACCTTGGAAGGATGGAAGGCTGAGTCAACCTTGAGCCGGTGAGAACTGAACTGCTAGCAGTCGGCAGAGTTAGCCTGCAATACTGCATTCTAACCACTATGCCACCAGGGCTCTGGTTAGCATGGGTTAGAAAACACTGTGAATTATACCATTTTTCTGACTACCAACTGTTATTATCCAGAATTTATTTATTGATTTGTTAAATTTATTTGATACCCATCTCGCCACTACTCTGGTGGCCTACAACAATAAAATGAAAAACATGACAAAAATGCAAACATAACAATGGCAAAGGGGTAAAACAATCAAAATAAACAATGGAAGTACACTGATAAGAAATTAAAGAAGATGCGTGGAAGGAGAGCAGGAAGTGCAGGGGGGAGATGGGGGGGTCAGCTAATTAGATCCATAGCAGAGGTGGGTTTCAGCAGGTTCTGACCAGTTTGGAGAACCTGGTAGCAGAAATTTTGAGTAGTTTGGAGAACCGGTAGTAAAAATTCTGATTGGCCCTGCCCCTATCTATTCTCTGCCTCCCAAGTCCCAGCTGATCAGGAGGAAATAGTGATTTTGCACTAACCTTCCCCTGGATTGGGGAGAGAATGGAGATTTTGCAGTATCCTTCCCCTGCCATGCCCACCAAGCCATGCCAACCAAGCCATGCCATGCCCAAGCCACACCCACAGAACCGGTAGTAAAAATTTTTGAAACCCACCACTGATCCGTAGCCACCTCCACTGATGTACCCCCTATTGGGTCTCCAAATCAACTGGCAGAGCCAGGTCTTCAGGCCCTTGTGGCAGGATAGGAGGGTATTGTGTACGATATATAAGTGCAATCCTTATTTTCAGATAATTTTAGCAGGTAAGCAAACACTTGTGTGCTCCTGAAATCAATTGAGATATTAAAGAAACTGCTTGAAAGGTGTGAAAATCCGACTTGCACCTTTTCTTCTTTGATGACAGTTTTCACAAGTATAAGCAGGTGCAATTGTTTGTTTTCCATACCTTCAACAACCAGATTGCAATGATGAAACACAGGACCTAATTATTCATTACACAGCCCTTTTACAGAATATCGTATACTTAACTGGGTCAGTTGGGGAAGGGATTTATGTCTCATGAGAATCTTGAAAAAGAGGTCAACAAACCTCCAGGCTTTCACTGGAGTTAAACAAACTCAACTCATTCTGTTGAATCAGAAGCTATACAGTATAATTGATATACGTAGCCCTTCCATTAAAAAAAAAACCAGAAAGAACTGGTTGAAAAAATCGAACCTTTTGGGCTCACCCCCACAAAGTCTGTCAGCACAAGGCACACTTCTTTGACTTGGTGAATTGATTTATTTATTCATTTATTACATCAATTTATATGGTCAACTCTCTTGCAGAAGCAATTGTGGACAGCATTTAAAAACAATATACAGCTAGTCCTTGACTTACGTTTGTTTAGTGACTGTTCGAAGTTGCAGCATAACTGAAAAAAGCGACTTTCACTTTTTGGGTTTTCACACTTACCACCACTGCAGCATCCCCATAGCCACGTGATCCAAATTCAGGCACTTGGCAACTGATTCATACTTATGATAGTTGCAGTGTGCTGGGCTCATGTGATCACCTTTTGCAACCTTCCTACAAACAAAGTCAATGGAGAAGCCAGATTCACTTAACCACCCTGTAACCAATTTAAACACGTGCAGTAATTCACTTAACAACTGTGGCATGAAAAATCATAAAATGGGGCAAAACTGTCTTAACAAATGTTTCACTTAGCAACAGAAATGTTGGGTTCAATTGGGGTCGTAAGATGAGGATTATCTGTAAAAGCCAATATCAATAAAACATTAAAAAAACCATCTTCTACTATTATAGTTGAGAACCAACCCAATAAGTACTCAACAATACAATAACCCTTAACGGACTTGCCATGGCTGAAGCAAGCCTAGTGTTTCCCCCTAGCCAGGGAATAAAGCAGTAATGTCATAAACCCTTGTCAATACTGTCCAAACAATGGTTCACATCCATCTCATGCATGGAAATTCTTGGCCTCTGTTGACACACAACTTAACAGTGTCATGAGCACAATTTGTATGACACATGACCATCTAAAATCCAGTCACTTTTGGATCTAGGAAGGGTCTTTCTTTCTTTCTTTCTTTCTTTCTTTCTTTCTTTCTTTCTTTCTTTCTTTCTTTCTTTCTTTCTTTATTAATTATATTTATATACCATCCTTCTTCATACTACTACTGGGTAATTTGATTTAGTAAATGCCTTATAAGGGCAATACACACCCAGGGTAAAGAACAATTAATGCTATAGCATACTGTGAACAATTATAAATGGATATGGCCCTCCCTCAGTCAAACTGCTTGTCGACATTCCTCCTTCAAGCATTTGCAACCCACGGTATCTCCAAAGAGGGAGGGAGGACCAGCACCACTTCTCATGCCTAAGCTCTAAAAATATTCACATTTACTCCCACGGGCTCCCAAATGAGCATAAACACCGACACGTTGGAGCCTGCTGTCTTGCTGTCCAGGGTCTGACACTCCTTGCTGGATGTTGTTGGTCATTTAGAGTCATAGAAGTTAGAAAAGACCCCACCCCAGCTTAGGGAAAGAATCCACATTCAAGTATCCCAGACAGGCAGCTTCTACTTAAATACATTGGACAAAGGCTAGCCCATCATCTGTCTGTGTTACAGCATATGCAATACTGGTTTCACTCTTCAGATATTTTTTTCTCCAGGTATTTATTTTAGAGTGCTTCTCCACACAATTTCTTCCTCTTATCTTTTGTCCCAGGGAGAAAAAAACCATGTGAAAGTCTTGTTTTCCTTGCATGGTGTGCCATCCTTTTCCTTCTTGGAACACCAGTCTGGGAAGAATAACAGCTTATCTTCTGCCTACCAGAGGTGTGTTAGGAGGAGAAGAAGGAAATGCATTAAACTAGCCAGGGACTGAGGATGCCACTGTGTGGGGAAACTGGAGGAGAAGGCAATTGTTGGCAGGTAGGGTGAACAGGCAGCCAAAGTGAGTGGGAGAGGTTGTGTGAACTGAGGCTTGGAATGCTGCCAGTCTTGTTCCCCCCCCCTTTTTTCCCCCTTTTCCTTCCGTTCTGTTTGCTGTTTCCTGATTCAATGCACAAGGGGACTGGCAATATCATGAAACTGGGTCAAAACTTTCCTGGCACCGGATCTTGTGGATACCAGACATTTCCTGGAAGAAGTGGACAGGGGTTCTTTTCCCAAATGATTTTTTTTTTTGATCCAGTATGTAGCCTGAGCCTAAAGGGACATTTGACTGGGTTACTGGCTGCCTGGCTTAAACATGTGGTGAGAGCTGTCCCAGAATGTGAATGCTAGTTTTCCAGATAAAAGCATCTTTGGAAATAGGGTAAGAGTTGAACAGAAAAACAGCAGGGAAAGGGAAAGACTCTTAAGGGTTTTTCCCCACCACTTTTCTGCTTTCAAATTACTTTCCTGCCCTACTAGATTCAAAAATCTGATTGAGTGAGTCATGCCTGAAAGTGCATAGTATGAAAAATGGAGTAGCAGCTGGTGACAATTTCTATTGGTGACAATATGT